TGTTTCTGTGTCTCTGTGCAATAGTGGGATTGAATGCCCAGTAGACTTTCTCTTCCACAGACATAATCAATGATGTAAGTAAGTGCAGATTATCATTGAGACTTGTGAAAGGAGGGCCGCCTCTGAGGTCTACAAGTGTCACCTTGTGAATGATTAGATATTTGTACAGAAGCTGCTTTGCTCTTGCTTCACATAAACTAGGTAAAAACACAAGGGGCAAAGATTTGGAAACGAGAGGGACATTCGAAGATATTTTCTGGCAGCAGAGCCGTGTGTCACGAGTTAGGGATTTAAATAATTGTTGTCACATAAATAAAAAATTAATCTGTATTAGTGTTTATGAATTATAAATCTGTTTTGTGAATTTGATACTTAGAGAATATTCCTGCAAATAGAATTTGTAGCTATTAATTAATCACCTTCAGCAAGTGTGATTTCCAATAAAGTTATGCAGACCAGTTAATGCCACAAAGCCAGCTGTGGGAAGAGCTGACTCGTTTTGTGATCTTGTTTGAGAAGGACAGGACCAGAGGAGAAGGACAGTGCTGATTCTGGCTCGAGCAGCTTTAATCTAGCCCGAGGCACCAAGGATTTCTGAACACTCATAATCAATACGTTTAAACCCATGTTTCGCATGTAAGTGAGATCTGATCTGGAATCAATCTTACTTTGGTGACTCTGATGCTTTGCTGACCTCATCTTTTTTTCCATCACATTAGCGTCAAACAGATGAACTCTATCCCCTCACGCTGCTAGATAGTCCCACAGACATCTCAGGAATAAATCTGTGAACAAACAAATGATACATTTTGGACATTTTTAACAACTGTGTAGTTCCCTGAACTCTGAATAAATGTTCTTTAGAAGCAACACACTGAATAATAAAACAAAAATCTACAAAGAATTACATTTGAGCTCAAATAGGTCACAGCTCTCTTTACTCAACAGGGACAAAAATTCTAAGGGAGTGTGTATTAAAATGTATTAACTACAGTCATTTCTGAGTCTACCCACACTTCTATCAGTGATTATAATTTAAATAACGACACATGAAGTATGTTGTGCTATGTTCTTTATTTTCAAGTTTACATTTGTTTACATTTTGTCAAATTAGATACAGCAAATTCACTTTTGTTTGCTACACTGTACCATTGTACTACCAACTATCACTGCATTACTGTGATAATGAAGCAAACTTTTAAAAGTTTCTGGAATTATAAGGAGAATCTTCTTTGTATGATTTCTTAGAGATTGAAGGAGCCTACTTTAAATGACAATAACTAACATTCCACTGTTTTTAAAACACTTGGGTGCAAACCCCAAATTTGACTTGAGCTTCTTAAGGGAGGTACTTTTTGAGAGTTTGACACTCTGATGTGATGACTGATGTGAGTTTATGATGATTTTGGTACAAAATGTGACCAGTGGATATTGACATTTAATACCTGGTTACACAAAACAATTATCTTAATTAACTGGTTTGTTTTGAAAATCAGTTTTAGGGTTTTGATGCAACTTGTGAGTGAATGTAACATGTGACATGAGCAGCTCTCAGCCGCTTTCATTTTGTCAAAGAAGCTCTCTGAGGAACAAAGGTTGGAGACCCCTGCTGTCGACTTTAAATAGAATACCTCATTAAAAACAGGTTTGTTCACGATCACGGTGTGAGTGCTCATAGACCAATTTCCAGTTAGGTGCATCAGAAAGCACTAAATTACACAGATGAGTGAAAAATGAGGAAAAAAGAGCTACATAAAGTAAGGTGTTAGTTCACCATGTGCCACCTGAACAGCTTCAGTGCAACTTGGTATTGACTCTACAAGTCTCTGGACTCTACTGGAGGGATGAACACTATCCTTCCAAATGATATTCCCTCACTTGATCTTTTGATGATGGTGGTGGAGACGCAGTTTAACACTTCAGCCCAAAATCTCCCATATGTGTTTAACTGGGTTGAAGTCTGATGGCTGTGAAGATCATAGCATATGATTTTCATACTTATCAAGCCATTCATTGTCCCCTCCTGTCCTGTGGCTGGGGTCGTTGTCATCCTGGAAGACACCACTTATTTACTCAGGTTTTTCCTTCAATTGCTCACCCGTCTCTTCTTCAGTTGAAGAGGAAGCACAATACCTTTATGCCCAAATGGATATGATTGATATTTTCAATACAGTTTCATTGCCATGGCTTTACATTTACTCATATTTTAATGTGAATGGTGAAACTACTTGGTCATTTCAATCTTTTGATGAATTACTTTACAGAAATTGCTGGATCTAGCTGCTGACATTGGCCTTTACTCATCATTCTGAAAAATGAAAACACCTCGTACAATCCTCTCTTGTAACCATTTTAAAGCTGAAGTAAAGTAGAATCAGTTATATAAGTATAGCTCTTAGAGATGACCTGTGTAATCACATGTAAAGAATTGGCAAAGACCAACAGAAGTACATATTTTATTTCAATCCTGTTAGTGTGGATAATGTTCCCCTATTTTATATCACTTGTTATTTCATAAAACTGCAATTGTCCATGTGTTTTCATCACTTTCTGTTTAGACATTCCATTAGTGCTCATTTGGCGTATCAATTGTTATTATTCTCTAGACACATTTTAAATCAAAGACCTCTCGTGGGGTTCAGTGAATGTAAATGTTTTTCTTAATTTATCATGCTGAGTTTCTGTTGATCAGCGATCAGCCACATCTGTAGCCTACGTATCTGTGGATATAAACTGAGGTGAGGTTTTAATGAGCATTTACAAAACAAAAAAAAAGCACAGCAAAACAAATGGGGAGATAATGTACCTGAAGAAATAAATTAATAGTTGAAAAGTATCTGGCAGTTAAAGATCAAAATCAGCAGTAAGGAAAAACAATTTTACAATGTTACACATTTAATTTAATCATGTACAGTATATATTATTCAGTACAGAGCATAAAATAAAATAAAAATTCAGCATGCAGAAAATCTTACTGTGACCAGACTAGGTTTCCACATGGAAATTCATTTACACATTTGGCAAGTTTCAGAAGTACTGCAACTGAACATAATTAAAAAAAAAACTGTTCAAGTTATCCTACATATGCACCTATAGTCTTGTTTCTGACAGCTGCCAAAAAGACTCTTTAATCTGCATATATAAGTTGTTCAATTCTATTTTATAGTGCAAATCACAACAAAAATAATCTCAGGGCACTTTACATTGTAAGGTCTAGACCTTGAGTAAGCACCTGGCGACAGCGGGGAGGAAAAACTCCCTTTAACGGAAGAAACCTCCGACAAACCCCGGCTCCTGGTGGCGGCCTTCTGCCGTGACCAGTTGGGGTGAGTGGATAGAGGAAAGACAGAAGAAAAAAACAAGACACAGTAAACACAATGACTAACAATCAAACACTGGGTAGGTTGATGTGGCTAGTAACTGCTCATCAGAAACATAGAGCTCCAAAGCCAGAGCTACCTGCAGAAAGGTACAGGAAGAGAAAGAGGACACAGTTAGTGAACATAATGGGGGCACAGAGAGAGAGGACAGGAAAGTAGGGGAGCTCAGAGCATCATGGGAGAACCCCCAGCAGTCTAGGCCTACAGCAGCAAAACTAAGGGAAGGCCCAAACTATAGTTTAGCTTTATCAAAAAGGAAAGTTTTAAGCCTAATCTTAAAGGTAGAGAGGATGTGTGCCTCCCAAACTGAGAGGACCTGGTTCCACAGGAGAGGAGCTTGATAGCTCAAGGCTCTGCCTCCCAGTATACTTTCAAATGTGGCAGTTTGATGCTTTTCTTTGTCATAATATGTTTAAATAAATTTGGGTGTACAACAGTTAGTTAGATAAAACAAGGAATTTGTGTTACCTTAGACTTTGGCGAAGTGTAATGGGAATATTTTGTGACATTTTAAACACAAAACTTTAACCTTTATTTAAGCAGGAAGTCACAATGAAATCATTTGTTTTACAAAGGAGACTTGTCCAGAATGGCCACTTAAATATAACAAAAACCACATAATAAAATTCAGACTAATATAAAACAGCAGTCACTACAACTCATTTAAAATATCCAACTAGTTTAAGAATTGCAGAGACATATGGCAAATGAAACAGATGTTAAAGAATTTACAGAACAACTCCAAATCAACTTCTTTCTGTAAATTGTTCAAAGTATTCAGAGCAAAGAAAGCATATGGAGCTAATATGTGTCCTGTGATTTCAAGTCAAATTTTGAACAGTAAATTTACAAAGATATCAGAGTAACCTGTCAAGAATGGCTTTATAAATGTACCAGCGACTTAGCCGGGGTATTGGCAAGAGAGGGTCTGACTCTAGAATACAGGTTACGATAGTGAATCAGTGGCTTTGAATATGTGATAAACCTTGAGGCACTAGGGTAAACAACAAATTTACTAAAATAATATACAGATGCACTCATATATTACAAATCACCATAATCAAGAACAGGCAGAAAGGTGGCAGGAAAGAAAATAATTACATTAACTGATAATGAAAATGACCTGGATTTTCAGCCTTATGTTCTGGTATTTATTTTGTCAATGACAAAGCACTTACAATGAATCAAACTGAGAGCACAAACGTCTAAAAAAATATATTTTAAATAGACATCTGTCACGGACCGAACATTAAGGCAGAGGACACAGCTTTTAAAGTTCAAAAACAGATGGGCTTTTTACTCACCCAAAAACATGGAAAAAATACAAACAACATCAATATCAAACAAACTGGGCCCTAAAAGAGGTCAACAAAAGATAAGGAATCTCAAAATACAGCTAAATGAACTACACAGTACACAAAAAACACAGATGGGGAACATATATATACTGGCTGGCCAAACCAGTAACACACACAGGGAATAGACAAAGACACTAACTAGCATAAACTACAAACAAATAAACTATATTTCTCCCAAACTCCCCTCTTTTTGTACTGGACACTTGGTACAGTCCAGGCCTAGTGGGAGGTATTTAAACCTGCTGACTCCTCAGCCCAAACCTTTTGTCAGAGCCACCCCCATCCATGAAACAGGAACAGGTAACCCAGAACATTTTTTTTACACATGTTAACGATACAAAGTTAACCAAATGCGCATGCTTTGTTGATTAACGGTAGTGATGGGCAGATGAAGCTTCATGAAGCAATGAAGCCTTTCATCCAATTGGTTCACTCCAGCGCAAAGCTTCTTGAAGCTTCATTTGTTCTAGTAGGACATCTACTGGATGCAACAATATCAGTTGGCATGAATCTGAAGTGTGTGGCATTTTGCAGAAAGCCTGTGAATAAAACTGTCAGCAAAATAAAGAAGTATGCAAAACATGTATATTGTAGTGATGGCAGTATACTGTGTGTATATATATACTGGCAGTATGGAAAATGATTATTTGGAAATGATGGAAATGATTATTTACAGTGAGGTGAGGGTGGTTGGGTTTGGGGTATGGACAATGATTGTGCTTTTGTAATGTTGAGGTATGGCCAGTGATTATGGTTTAGGGGACACATCATTGGTTTTTATTTAAAAACAACAGTTTCTCCACTGTGGCAGGTCTTAGGCGATTTCTTTTTTTTGACAATATTTCTCCTGCTTTGGAAAACACCCGCTCACAGGGCACAGATGAGGCAGGCGTACACAA